ACTACCACAGTGCTCCACACACAGTGCTCCACCTGCACACTGCCACAGTGCTCCACACAGTGCTCCACCTGCACACTACCACAGTGCTCCACACAGTGCTCCACCTGCACACTGCCACAGTGCTCCACACAGTGCTCCACCTGTACACTACCACAGTGCTCCACACACAGTGCTCCACCTGCACACTACCACAGTGCTCCACACAGTGCTCCACCTGTACACTACCACAGTGCTCCACACAGTGCTCCACCTGCACACTGCCACAGTGCTCCACACAGTGCTCCACCTGCACACTACCACAGTGCTCCACACAGTGCTCCACCTGTACACTACCACAGTGCTCCACACACAGTGCTCCACCTGCACACTACCACAGTGCTCCACACACAGTGCTCCACCTGCACACTACCACAGTGCTCCACACAGTGCTCCACCTGCACCAGTGCTCCACACAGTGCTCCACCTGCACACTACCACAGTGCTCCACACAGTGCTCCACCTGTACACTACCACAGTGCTCCACACACAGTGCTCCCGCCACACAGAGCACGTCTTGCTGCCTAAACTCTGAGCTCCAGGAAACACAGAACTGCAGGCAGGCAGGCAGAGTGCACACAACCGTGGGACCGTGGCTGTGGTCCAGGCCCCGAATTCTGTCCCACACAGCGAGCTGCCTCGGGGGGCCACCGGCCGCTGACCCCGCCGCTGAGCTCGCGGCTCTCCGGGATGTGACCAGGCCTGGCGGGCACCACTGGTCAGGAGGTGGGGCTCATCGGCTCAAGACACAGAGGCTCGGCCAGGGGCGGCTCAGCTCTGAAGGGAATCCCACTGGTCTGTGCCATCCCGGCCCAGCCGCCGAGTCCACCCTGCTCCCTGTGGGCCCGCCACGTGGCCACCCAATGGGAGGGCCATTCTGTCATCTCCGGGGACGGTCAGGTCTGGCGGCCTCGTGGGCTGGACGGGAGACCCGGCCGACCCACACAGCACAGGCGAGGAGCAGGGTCGTGTTTTAATGCTAAAGCAATGTGGAGGGGTTACAGCCACCAAGTGCCTTTGGCAAAGCTACGTTTCCTAAGGCCCAAGCCCTTTATGATCCCAGCCTCGGTTAAAAAGTCTATATGCAGCCGGTGCCAGTAGTGCATGCCCGGAAGCTAGCTACTCAGGAACCTGAGATCTGAGGAGCACCAAAAATCCAGAAGTGGAGCTGTGGCTTAAGTGGGAGAGTACCAGCCTGGAGTGAATGGGGGAACAGCACCCAGGCCCACAGGTCAGGCCCGGGAACAGCACACGTGTGCACACACACGCAGAGTCCACACGCCAGAACTCCACCAAGAAAATAAATCAAGGCACACAGGACAGGGTGTCAAATTAAGACCTAGGCAGCAGCTCCCCTGGCTGGAAGACAGCCGCTGCCCGCTAACAACCCTAGGCCTCTGCAGACTCAGGAGCCACTCCTCCCACGCCACCGTCGGGAGCCATGCTCAGGGGCCCAGGGCCTGCCACCCCCTCCCCCTGTGCCCCTCTCAGCTCGCTGGCCTCCCCCCACCCCCACCCCCTTTCTGCAGCCCACCCTCATTCCAGACCTGCAGCGCCCAGGAGGCCGGTCCATTATCTATTGGTCTGCCCACAGTCCCTAGCTGGCCTCTCCGAAGGAGCGAACGCTCGCAGCTCCTTGCTGAGGAAGCCACGCGAACACCCAGATGCTGCGATGGCAAAGCAGGACGAGGAAGAGAACGCGAACCTCATTTGAACGCAATCACAAAGGGTAGGTCTCCACTTACGGGCCTGCGGGTGGGCGCGCCCTGGACCGAGTGGTAGAATTCCGGCTGCACACGGCTGCTCTTCTTGATCCTCCTCTTCCTCACGGAGCCTTCCGGCTCACTCTGGTGCTGAGCTTCCACCACCGGCTTCACTTCTTCCAGGCGGGCGGCGGCTGCCGCTGCAACCCTTCTCCTGATGTGGCGCGGGCTGGCTCTGAACCCCTGCGTCAGGACACAGAACACGTGGGTGAGGTCCCCGTCCGCACTTCCCTGGGGTAGGCCTCCCAACCAGCTCCCAAAGCCCCAAGCTCCACGAACGCGTCTTCACCCCCAAAGTGAGCACTGAGAGCTGAGCATCCAGGCTGGTCCCGGCACGCCCGGAGTCTACACCCTGCTCTGCTTAGAGAGACGTCTGTGTGTGCCAGAACGGGGCTTGGACTGGGGCCCAGGTGCTGTCCCTTAGCTTGTTCACCTCAAGACCAGTGCTCAGCCCCGTGAGCCACAGGCCATGGCTCTCCTGCCCAGACTTCTGACCACGATCCTCAGACCCCAGCCCCCTGAGTAGCCAGGATTACAGGCGTGAGCCACCGACACATGGCTCATGTGTGTGTACCTGTGACTGGGTGTTAAAGAGAGTTTCTGTGCTCTGGTGGGGGCACACTGTGTATGTGGGAATGTGTACGCAGCTCTGGACAATAGAGAAGAGCCTGCAAAGCTCAGCTTACCCAGGAACTAAGAGAGTTTCCTGAGCTCTGGTCGAGGCGTATCCTCGGCACTTCAGGTGTCAGAGAACGAATTAACAAATGGCCCCATAAGCGGTGGCAGGTGCAGAATGGCTGCACGCTGTGTTCCAGGCAGAGGAAGCCACGCAAGAGATGACCAGACGAGAACCCTACGGCAGGAGCAGCATGACCAGGGATGCCCGGTGAGAGCGCACGCCAGGCAGGAGCAGC